TTAAACCAAACCAAAACAAAAAAAAGCCAACCAAACAAACCCCAAATAGAAGAATGAAAGCTGTTGAAAATTGTTCTAAGAAGTGGGGGAGGGGGGAAGAGGGAGATGATGGAGGGGGTAAATCTAAGATATACTGTAACCACATATGTAAATGTCACAATGTAGTCCCCTGTACAACTATTATATGCTAACAAAATAATTAAAAAAAAAAAAAGAAAATCAAAAACCCATGGGCTCAGTCTTAGAGCCCTTCACTGGAAGGGGTGCCAGGCCATGATTCAGTCTCCAGTACCACAAAAGACAAAAGTTTCCTGGCCACTTGAGAGTCACACGGACACACTCAACCCACTGTCGTGGTCAAGGGAGCCTTGGAACCAAGCTGGATGTTAAAACTGCTTTAGCAGCTGGGCACCGGTGGCTCATGCCTGTAATCCTAGCTACTGAGGGGACAGAGATCAGGAGGATCAAGGTTTGAAGCCAGCCCGGGCAAATAGTTCTCGAGAGGGCTGGTGGAGTGGCGTAAGGTGTAGACCCTGAGTTCAAACCCCAGTATTGAAAAAAAAAAATAGACTGCTTTAGGGACTAGAAGTGTGGCTCAAATTGTAGTGCAACTGCTTTGCAAGCACAAAGCCCTGAGTTCAAACCCCAGTCCCACCACACATACACACACCACACTCACACACACACACTCGACTTCTTCAGAAGAGGTGCTGAAGACCATTGTCCCACAGTGGTCTGGCTGGTGGAATTCCCAAAGCTGCCCAAGCCTGAGACAAACACCAGTTCACTGGAACTCGGCTGTCATGAGCCCATGTTTCACACAGGTGGAAGCCCTTTGTGCTGAGGAGTGGATCACCCTACTGTTGACAACAGGAAACTGGGGGATGGTTAGGCCTTCTTGGTTAAAATAAACCAAGAGGGAAATCCCGGAGAAGGGGATGTGTGCAACTGTGTAGTGTGTTAGGACACGGACAAAGAATCCTAGGCCAACGAAGTCATCAGAGAGCACTTCACATTCAAGAAACGAAGAAATAAGAACTCTGACTCACAAGACAAAACAAAACCCCCAGCACACAAGAATTCTAGCTCCTTTGCTTCTTTGCCAACATTTGGCTGGTATCACTCTTTCCTTTGGTTGTTGGGGTGGAACCCAGCACCTCTGCACCTTGCTAGGTAAGGCATTGCTGTACTGTTTAAGCCACACCCCCAGAGGTTTATTTATTTATTTGTTGGTGGATTTGGGGTTTGAACTCAGGGCTTCACACTTGCAAAGCAGGCGCTCTACTGCTCAAGCCACACCTCCAGTCCATTTTGCTTTGACTATTTTGGAGATGAAGGTCTCATGAACTATTTGCCCAGGCTGGCCTCAAATGTCAACCCTCTGATCTCAGCCTCCCAATTAGCTAGGATTATAGGTATAAATCACTAGTGCCCGACTTCTATTTTGTTTTATTATTTATTTATTTACTTACGGTACTGGGGTTTGAACTCAGCATTCACTGCTAGGTAGGTGCTCTAACACTTGAGCCACTCTGCCAGTCCTTTTGTGTTGGATATTTTCGAGACAGAATCTGGCTTTGAACCACTGTCCTGCTGATCTCTGCCTCCCAAATAGCTAGGATTACAGGTGTGAGCCACAAGCACCTGGCAATAAAAATTTTTTAAGGAAAAAGAAAAAGAAACAAATATATATATACATATATATGGCAAGTAGGACATCCATTTATTAGTTTTTTTCTTTTTGGTGGTACTGGGGTTGAAAATGCATGTACATACACACCAGACACTGCACCACAATATGCTGTGGACTGTGTTATTTCCAGCAAGATAGTGTGGCTGCTGGGAGCCTTGGTTTGCTGCCTCAGGACAGGATCACAAAAGAGTTTCATTCCAGCCGGGTGCAGAAGTACACACCTATAATCCTAGCTATTTGGGAGGTTGAATTTATGAGGATTAAGGCTCAAAGCCACATGAGCAAATAGTTCTTGGGACCTCCAGCTCTAAAATAACCAGAGCAAAATGGACTGAAGGTGTGGCTCAAGCATACAGTGCCTGCTTTGCAAGTGTGAAGCCCTGAGTTCAAACCCCAGTACTTCTAAATACATGCATAAATAAACAAAGACCTTCATTGTCTCTCTGCAAGGCTACGTTAAGAAAGGCCATATGAAAACACAACCAAGAGGAAAGCCCCCCACTAGGTCTCTGTCCTTACTGGTAGACTTCCAGCCTGTAGCACGGTGAGCAAGAAATGATTTGAGGGCTGGCAGAGTGGCTCAATGGGTAGAGCTCCTACATAACGAGTATGAGGCCCTGAGTTCAAACCCCAGTAACACACACACACACAGAGTAAAAAAATATTTGAACATGAGTAGGTATCTGTTTTTCTGTGCTCCAGTAGCTCATGGCTGTAATCCCAGCTACTCGGGAGGCAGGGATCAGAGGCATTGCAGTTTAAAGCCAGCCCAGGCAAATAGCTTGAGAGATAGTGTCAAAAAAGGGGCTGGTGGAGTGGCTCAAGGTGTAGGCTCTGAGTTCAAGCCCCAGTACCCCCCAAAAAAAGTGGTTTAAGGGTGATCACCCTGTGAAGAGAAGAGTGGTCCAGGCAGAGGGAATGACAGATGCAAAGGCCCTGAGGTAGGACTGTACCCGTTAATTGAGGAAGAAGACAGATGTAAATGAGTGCGGGGCGAGGAGTACAGAAAGAGGCAAGGTTAGGAGGTGACTGTACCTTTTTCTAGCACACACCCTCATCTGACTTCCTTCAACTGGCTAAAGCCTGAACCCTCGGGCTGGCCACTAGAGGCCACCCTGTCTGTGGCTCACGGGGTCACCTCAATGTCACCAAGTGGTTGGCTCTAACAGTTCCTCAGATACTATGCTAAGCACTTCAAACAAATGAACTCATCTTCTAACACCCTTATGAATTAGGTGTATTTAATTTTTTACAGCTTTATTGAGGTATAATTGACATGTTGTAAACCATATAAATTTTAACTGGACAGTGATGAGATCTGACATCAGTGGAACCTACTACCACAGTGAACACACACTGAATATACCACTACCCAACAAAGATTTTTGTGCCGCATGTGTGTGTGTGTGTGTGTGTGTGTTGTGTGTACTGGAGTTGAAACTCAGGACCTCACACTTGCTAGGCAGTTGTTTTACCACTTTAGTCACGCTTCCAGCTTTTTTTGCTTCAATTTTCAGATAGAGTCTAGTAGTGCTTTTTGCCCTCTAGCCTAGGACAGAAGTCCTCCTACCAAGCCTCCTGCTTGGCTGGGATTACAGGTGTACACCACCATGCCTAGATTGCTGAGATGGTGGGGGGATCTCACTAACTTTTTCCCCGGGGCTGGATTAGAACCAGGATCCTTCCAGATCTCTGGTGCCTCTGTTTAATCCACCCTGTCCCTTCCCTTCCATCCTCCAGGCAAAGGAACCTAGTCTGCTTTCAATCGCTATAAATGAAGTTGCATTTTCTCCAGTTTTACATAAATTTAGGATTCTGTCTCTGTGTCTCTTTGTCTCTCTCTTTCTCTCTCTCTCTCTCTCCTCACCTCTCTCTCTCTCTTTCCCCCGCCCCCGAACAAATGTTCGTTTGGATGAACATTAATTTGTATTGTTAGGCCATTTTGGGCAGTAGGAAACTGAAGCTCAGAGAGTCGAGGGATAAGAGGGGGGTGGTCACATCCAGATCTGGCTCCACGCTGAGGTCGATTGGTTGACAGTCTGCCTAGGGCGCAAACCCTCTCTAAATTTCCTCGCTGTTTTCCCGCGCATGGCAGCCTTATTGTACACATGAGAAAACGGAGGCACAGACAGGCGTGACTTGAGCTAGAGGGTCCGAGGCTGAGGTGGGAGCGCGGAGGGTCCCCGTGGTGGCCCCAGGCAGGCGCTGACAGGTGCACGCTCACGCCGGGCGGTCTGGCCCGGGACAGGAGAGGGGGCGTGGCCTGGGCGTGACGTGGGCGTGGCCGGGGCGTGGCCTCAGCCCTGCGTCCTGTGATAAGGGGCGGCGGGGGCTGGCGGGGGCCTGGGCTGTGCGATAAGGCGGGCGTGGGAGGCGGCGCTTGGTGTCTCGGTCCCCGCGCGGAGACTCGGGAGCGGGGCTGGGGTCCCCCACTGAGAGTCGGGGCGGAGCGTCCGGCCGAGTCACACCCGCCTCCATCCGGGGGCCTGGGCCGCCAAGATGGCGGTGGCGGTGTCCGCGGTGGCGGCAGTGGTGGCTGCGGCCGGTGCAGGGCGCGGGAGCCCGGCGCTGGGGACCGAATAGCGCCCCCCGTGGACCCCGCGTCCTGGCCGCGGGGCGCCCTGGGCACGGCAGCCACAGCTCCCCACGCCGGCGCCCCGCTCCGCCCTCCCGGCGCGTCCATGAACTCGGTGTCGCCGGCCGCCGCGCAGTACCGGAGCGGGAGCCCGGAGGACGCGCGCCGGCCCGAGGCCCGCAGGCCGCGGGGATCCCGGATCCCGGATCCTAACGGCCTGGGGCCCTCTGGAGCCAGCGGCCCGGCTCTTGGCTCGTCCGGGGCCGCCCTGGTGGAGCCGGACGAAGTGGATAAGTTCAAGGCCAAGTTGCTGACCGCCTGGAACAACGTCAAGTATGGTGAGGAGGGGGCTGAGAGCTCAGAGAAAGGGGTGGGGGGCGTCAAAGAAAATAAACCTCGCCCCTGCGCATTACTCCACCGTAGGTTCCCCTGCTGTGAGTCACCTTTGGGTCCCCCCGCCCTGTCCTGCCCTGCCCTGCCCAGAGTGGACCTGGGACAGGTCGAACACGGAGTGTTTCCAAGCCGCGCCCATTGCCCAGTTTGACCTTGGACAACCTTTCTTGCTTTGCTGTGCCTCCCTTGCCCCCTCTGTCAAATGGGTACATCCTGAGTTGATGGACATTCATGCAACTGTTGGGGAGGGGTGCGTCTCCCTCTTAGAGGGGTGCTGCTGGGGTTTTGGGAACTAGGATTGCGCCTGTTTCGCAGGTGGGGTGGTGGAAGCGCTCTTTGAGCAAGTGCTTCATCTTGCTTGGCGCTGCCCCGTGTCTCCCCCAGGCTGGGCAGTTAAAAGCCGGACCAGCTTCAGCAAGATCTCTAGCATTCACCTCTGCGGCCGCCGCTACCGTTTTGAGGGTGAGGGTGAGTTGGTGGTCTGGGACTAGGCAAGTGGAGGAGAGCCCCCAGGGGTTGTCCACAAGTGGCAGCTGACAGGCTGGCTCTTGTAGGTGACATCCAGCGTTTCCAGAGGGACTTTGTGTCCCGCCTGTGGCTCACCTACCGCCGGGACTTCCCACCCTTGGCTGGAGGCTGCCTGACCTCAGACTGTGGCTGGGGATGTATGTTACGCAGTGGCCAGATGATGCTGGCTCAGGGCCTGCTCCTACATTTTCTGCCCAGAGGTGAGCCCAGCATGGGAAACGGGTGTGCTAGGAGAGTGACAATCACGTGTGTCAGCGGTGTTGGAACTGTTTGTGAAGTTAAAGTTTAAAGCTGCACTGGAATTGTTTGCTTTGAACCAGGCGTGGTAGAGCACACCTATATAATCCCAGCACTTAAGAGGCAGGATCAAAAGTTCAAGGACAGCCTGTGGCTCATGCCTATAATCCCAGCTACTCAGGAGGCAGCAATCAGGAGGCTCAAAGCCTGCCCTGAGCACGAAACCCTGTCACCAAGAAAAGAATATGGGAGAAGCTGAAGTGCCTGCCTTGCAAGCATGAGGCCCTGCATTCAGTACTGCAAAAACAAACAAACAAAAAAGTTCAAGCACAGCCTAGGTTATATAGCTAGACCCTGTGAGGGAAAAAAAAGAAGGGAAGGAAGGAAAGAAAGGAAAAGTGTTAAATTAGTTTGGGGAATGTAAATGAGAATTGTTTATTAAGCAAGAAATTCAAGCCAGGGGTATAGCTAAGTGTAGAATGCATGCCTACCATGTGCAAGATCCTAGGTTTGATCCCCAGCACCACAAAAATATATAAAAAGAGTATCAGGCAATGTATCTGGAGTTCTTAAGCATATTTGAATTTTGTGTAAAAGCCAGGAGTGGTGATGCATGCCTGTAATCCCAATTACTTGTGAGCTGGAGATAGGGCCTCTAACCTCCAATCATGATCCTCCTATCTGAAAAACCAACTAAAAGCAAAAGAACTGGAGGTGTGGCTCAAAGTGCTAGAGCACTTTGAGACCTTACCTGGGTTTCATCAAACACACGTAAAGTGTGTGAAATAAGACTAAGTGTACTATACACACAGGGCACTGTTTGACTGTGTACTTCATCCCTCCAGACTGGACATGGGCAGAGGGCACAGGCCTGGCGTCCCCTGAGGTGTCAGGGTCAGCCTCTCCCAGTTGGTACCTTGGGCCTGCCCACCGGATGTCCCCACGCTGGGCTCAGGGGACATCTGAACTAGAGCAGGAGCGCCGGCATCGGCAGATTGTGTCCTGGTTTGCTGATCACCCTCGGGCCCCCTTTGGTCTACACCGGCTGGTGGAACTTGGGCAGAGCTCAGGCAAGAAGGCCGGAGACTGGTATGGGCCATCGCTCGTGGCACACATCCTCAGGTGAGGGCCACTTTGGGGAACATGGGAGCTGTTGGGTGTCCTCTGGAACTCAGGCCGTCCCTCCTACCCCCAGGAAAGCCGTGGAGAGCTGCAATGAGGTCACCAGGCTGGTGGTGTATGTTTCTCAGGACTGCACGGGTAAGGGCTGGGATCCAAGGTCATGGGGCTTTCACCTTGAACTAATCCCTGCCTTCCTTAGGGCCAGAGGAACCTGTGGGGAAGATTCTAGGCCTCCACTGTGGGAGGTGCACACAGGTCCCTTCCTCTGCCTCTCTTTCCAGAACCAAGAGAGGGTAGAGTGAAAGACAGAAGGAAGGACTTCACAGAAGGAAGGACTTCTTTTTCTCTCAGGTCCCACTCACTTTTTTTGCAGTCCTGGGTTTTGAACTGAGGGCCTCACATTTGCTAGGCAGGTGCTCTACCACTTGAGCCACTCCCCCAGCCCTTTTTTTGCTTTAGTTATTTTTCAGGTAGTGTCTCCCATTTTTCTCAGGGGCCAGCCTCAGACCTCAATCCTCCTACCTCCATAGCCTCCCAAGTAGCTGGGATGACAGGCACAGTTGATTTTGTTGAGATGGGGCCTCACTAACTTTGCTTGGGCTAGCCTCAAACCACATTCCTGCCCATCTCTGCCTCCTGAGCAGCTGAGATCACAGGCGTGAACCACCGCCCCTGCCTCTTTATTGTAGGTTTAAATCTTAGGGCCTCAGTTGCCCTCTCTATTAAATGGGGTATCCCGCTTGATTGGTGATGCCAAGATTGTCTGGAGGACTTAGGGGGACACTAGAAGAACATTCTTTGTTGATGGCAGTATTGTCTGCCAGAAGGTTGTACAGGCGAGGCTGGGACCCTGGGCTTAGAGGACCACACTCCAGGGCTTGAAGGGTAAGTAGGAAGGTGACCTGCTGCTGCCCTGTCCCTCCAGTATACAAGGCAGATGTGGCTCGCCTGGTGGCCAGGCCAGATCCAACAGCCGAGTGGAAGTCTGTTGTCATCCTGGTGCCGATGCGTCTGGGTGGCGAGACTCTCAACCCCGTGTATGTGCCGTGCGTGAAGGTACGTTTTTATCTGGACCACTTGGAAGCCCTGAGGACTTTTCATCTGTGGCTATAAACCCCCCATCATCTGGGCATCTTTTCTTTCAGTGCTCAGGATGGAATCCAGGGCCTTATGCATGCTGAACAAACGCTCTAACATTGAGCCACACCCCCAACCTTTGGGTTTTTGAGACAGGGTCTCACTATGCAGCTCAGGATGGTCTTGAACTCATTATGTAGCCTGGGCTGGCTGGAACTCTCCATCCTCATGCCTTTGGCTTCTGAATGCTGGGATTGCAGGTGTGCACCACAACACCCTCCTTCCATCATCTTTTTATTCAGTAGTTATGATTACATGGTATGTGCCATTGCTGTCTGACCCTGGAATTTAGAGAGGAACGAACAAGCACAAATTCTGAATGTGCCCCATGGCAGCAGGTTTTATTGTTTTGTTTTTTGGCAGTGTTGGGGTTTGAACTCAGGGCCTTGTGCTTGCTAGGCAAGTGCTCTACTACTTGAGCCATGCCTCCAGTCCTGGAAAGAAGTGTTCTAGTGGGGAGTGATCTGTGATTGAATTGTCATCACAGGCTGGGGACATAGCTTGGTGGTAAGAGTACATGCTTAGCAAGTCCTGAATTCAGTCCCCAGTACCCCCAAAAAAAGTAACTAAATGAATTAAAAATTCCTACTCAGGAGGCAGAGAGCAGGAGGATCAATTTGGGCTTGGCATGGTGATGCATCCCTGTAATTCCAGCACTCAAAAAGCAGTGGCAGGAGGATCTTGAGTTTGAAGCCAACCTGGGCAAAGTTAGGGAGCCCATTGTCTCAAAATTGTGATCAAAGTCAGGTGCTCATGGCTCATGCCTGTAATCCCAGCTACTCAGGAGGCAGAGATCAGAAGGATCGAGGTTAGAAGCCAGCCTAGGAAATAGTTCTCAAGACCCTATCTCAAAAAAGCCCTTCACAGAAAAGGGCTGGTGGAGTGACTCAAGGTGAAGGCCCTGAGTTCAAACCCCAGTACCACAAAAAAAAAAAAGTAACAAAAGCAGGCTGGTGGAGTGGCTCAAGTGGTAGAGTGCCTGCCTAGCAAGCGTGAGGCCTTGAGTTCAAACTGCAGTACCATCAAAACTAAGTAAAACATTCTTAAAATTAAAAAAAAAAAAATAACCAAGCAAAGTGGACTGGAGATGTGGCTGAAGTGATAGAGTGTCTACTTGCAAGTGTGAGTTTAAATTCCCATGCCACCAAAAAAACAAAAAGAAAAGGGCTGAACATGTAGCTCAAGTGGAAGAGCTCTTGCCTGGCATGTGAGAAGCCCTGGGCTCCATCCCCCTCCAAAAAAAATTGACGTTACAATTTGGACTTTAAAGCCAGGAAACTACTCCATAAAGGGCAGGTGGGGGTGGTTGCAGAGCTGAGAAAGCCCCTCAAAGAGGTATTCCAGGCAGAGGGAACAGCAAGACAAAGGCCCAGAAGCTGGAAAGCCCCTGTCAATTTTGCACTCACAATGAAAACCAAAGTTTTCCCCATAAACCGTGAGATCTTGAACCCTTGGTTCCTGTCACCAACTTGGTCTTATTGCACCCTGCTCCCAATCTCCTCCTTACTCACTGTATTCCAGCCATATGGACCTCCTCACTGTCTTCAGAACTTCTGCCTCAGGGCCTTTGCATTTGCTGTCCCTGTTGCTTGGAGGGCTGTTTCCCTAAGATGCATGTGGCTTCTGCTCTTAGTCCTGCTAAGAAGTCACCTCTCAAGCAGATGTTTTCTGTCTTCTCTCATTAAAATTGCAAAGTCTAAGCTGGGCAGCAGTGGCTGGCACCTGTAATTCCAGCTACCCAGGAGGCAGAGAGCAGGAGGATCAAGGTTTAAAGCCAGTCCTGGCAAATAGTTCATGAGACCCTGTCTCAAAAACCCATCAAAAAAAGGGCTGGCAGAGTGGCGCCAGTGGTAGAGCACCTGTCTAGCAAGTGTGAAGCCCTGAGTTCAAAATCCAGTACCAGGAAAAAAAAAATTGCAACTAGGTACTGGTGGCTCACAAAGATTGCTTTTGAAAGCCAGTCCAGGCAAATAGTTGGAGAGACCCTATCTCAAAAAAAAATCCCTTCACAAAAAGGGCTGGTGGAGTTGTTCAAGGTGCAGTACCACAAAACAAAATAAAATAACCCTGCAAAGTCTAGGTTCAGGTGTTGTTCAGTAGAGCGCTTGCCTAGCATGCATGAGGCCCTGGGTTCCATCCCCAGCACTGCAGAAAAAATAATTACAAAGCCTCTTCCTTCTTTTACCCTTTTCTATGTTACCACCTCTGACAGGTAATTCATGAATAAAATCTTGTTTCATGTTCCTGTTCCAAACTAGAATGTTGGCTCCACCAGGACAGCTTAATAGCTGCTGTCACATTGTGCTTGTGGGTTCATATATAGTAAGCATCTGCTGTTTGTTGAGTGACTGCCTGACACACTCACTTCAACTTTTGCCCACTCTTCCCTGCAGGAGTTGCTGCGGTCAGAACTATGCCTGGGCATCATGGGTGGCAAACCCCGGCACTCACTCTACTTCATTGGCTACCAGGGTAGGCTCCGCCCCCAGCCCTGCCCCACTGCCCCCCTGCCCCCCACCTACTGGTTACCCAGTAGCTCATGTCTGCCCTCCCTCAGATGACTTCCTGCTCTACCTGGATCCCCACTATTGTCAGCCCACTGTGGATGTCAGCCAGGCTGACTTCCCCCTAGAGGTGAGTTAGTGTCCTCAGGGTAGGGTGGGGGCATGGGTTGATTGTTGGTCCCCTCCCAACCTCCCTCGTCTGTCTGTCCAGTCTTTCCATTGCACCTCACCCCGCAAAATGGCCTTCACCAAGATGGACCCAAGCTGTACTGTGGGGTTCTATGCTGGAGACAGGAAGGAGTTTGAGACGCTCTGCTCTGAGCTGACCAGGGTGAGCAGGAGTGGTGGGAGGCAAGGGCAGGGCTGGGGGGTGGCCAAAGAGGAACAGAGACCCAGAACCCAGTAGACCTGGGGGGTGCAGGCTGTGTTGTAATCTGGAAAATCTAAGAATCCATCTTGGTGGGGAGGGGGGTTGCAGCTCAGTGGTAGAGCGTTTGCCTAGTATGTGTGACACCCTGGCTTCCAAACCCAGCACCAAAAAATAAATACAGTATTCACATTCTGAGAAACTCAAGAAATGCCAAGGGAGACTTAAGTCAAGGTTATCATGTCCATAAACCAGGAAATCCCATTTTAGGGCTGATGCATGCTGCTCGGGACATTAACTGATGTGCTTTGGGCACAGCAGGGTGTGGTGCACATCTGTAATCCCAGCACTTGGGAGGGTGGGGCAGGAGCATTTTGAGTTCAAGGCCAGCCTGCGCTACACGAGGAGACCCTGTCTCAAAGAAAAAATTTGGCCCAATATACCTTGAAGATTACTCCATCCAGAGGTTCAGGGGGTGGAGCCCCGCCCTCCCAGTTCATTGGAAAGCAAGTTCCACTTTTAATGCAACTGCTGCAAAAACCCCAGGGCTGTCATTCATTGGCTAGATTGGGTCACGTGTTTACCACAGCCAGAGACGAGCCAGGGTGCAGAAGGTGCTGATTGGCTGGTTTGTGTGTGGGTTGGGCCTGACTCTCCCTCCTCCCATCAGGTCCTCAGCTCCTCCTCCGCCACCGAGCGCTACCCCATGTTCACCTTGGCCGAGGGCCACGCTCAGGACCACAGCCTGGATGACCTCTGCACCCAGCTGTCCCAGCCCACGCTGCGGCTCCCTCGCACCGGGCGCCTCCTCAAGGCCAAACGGCCAAGTTCTGAAGACTTTGTGTTTTTATAACGGGAGGGGACGGGGGAGATGCCTATTTATTTTTTTATTTATGCCGCACTGGGCGTGGTAATGGGATTTCCCACTTTCGTATCCGCGCAAGCCCAGCTGAGACCAGTCTAGGGCCCCAGCTAGGGCCGAGCCCACCGCTGCCCGCTTCCCCCTGGTCCCGCCCACCCGGACAGAGGGATGGAGGCCGGGGCACCCACTCAGGGCCTGACCTACGTACTGTAGCTCACACTGGACCGGCTGCGCCCCACGCCGCCCCGAAGCCTCTTTCCTGAGGGGCCTGGGGCGCCAGGGCTAATAAAGCTGCTGGACTTGAACGCGCCCAGGGTGGCTCAGTGTTCCAAGGCACGCGGGTGGGCACAGAGGCGACTCGAGGAGAAGTTCGTTCGTCGGCCTCGGTTCCCCATCTGGACGGGGGGACTGCGCCCTTGCCCACAGGCAGACCTGCGTCTGCTGAGACAAGCGGGAGGCGCAGCCGGGGACAGTACCTGGGGGAGGAAACCCCGGGTCCTCAGGGACCCTTGGGCCCGCGCTGTTTCCTGCCTCGCCGGCCCAGCTGGCGAAAGTGCAGGCGTTTGGGGTTGAGGCCAAAGGCCTGCAGTCTCTGGCGGCTGAACTCTCGGCCACCAAGCGTCACCGTGGGGCCCAGCAGCCGCGCCTTCTTGCCCCGCCTCCGCTGCTGGGGGACTGGCTTCTCAGGGGGTGGCACCCGTGCCGCCTCTTCCTGTGCTGGGGGGCTCTCAGGCAGCGGCCGCTTCCCTTGGGCTCTATCAGGCGCTGGCAGCTGTGCCCGCGAGCGGGCTTTGTCTCCCTGCGGCTTTCCTGTGGCTTCCGTGGGTGTCTCCGTCCTAGAGACAGAAGTGAGGGATCAATAGAGAGAGGAAGGTAAGCAGCAATCCCGCCAATCAGGGGCCTGCCTGGGAGCCAAACCTGAGTCTCAGGTCAAAGCCAAGTTTGTCTTTCTGAACCCCTAGGCAGAATTGTAATGTGGCTAATTTTGGTATTTGTGCCTGCCCTGCCCTCGGCTTGTCACATAAATCAATGCATTTTTAACTTTAAATCAACTTTGGGAGTTTCTCACACTCCTGCTTTAAAGACTGAGAATTAATTAGCATCATAATAACTAATAAGTCGATAGAGGGCGTTTATTTTTTTTTTTTTTTGGAGCTGGCAAGTAACACCTCCTATTTTTTTTTTTGGAGGCAGGATCTCAATATTAATAGCCCAGGCTGGCCTGAAACTCTCCATCCTCCTGCCTCGGCTTCCAGAGTGCTGGGATTACAGGCTTGTACCACCATGCCCATCTCCCCTATGTTATCGTTTTTCTTTTTCTTTTAGCAGTACTGGGGTTTGAACTCGGTGCTTTCTAGGTAGGCACTTTACCACTTGAGCCATGTCCCCAGCCCAGTGTTTTCTTTTAAACACTCACATGAATTAACTCAATTTTCACCAACCAGATGTCTTGAGAACCACAAATTTCCCTCCATTTTGTAGATGAGAAACAGGCCTAGATATGGGCAGTAACTTGCCAAAAGCCACACAGCTGTAGCCCATCCAGGAAAAGAACCCAGATCTCAAGAGACTACAAGATTGAAAGCCAAGTCATGGCAGCAATGGGTAACAGCCCCCTCCCCATCCGCTGTGCTTACTCCTCGGAGCAGAGCGACTTGAGGATCTGCCTCTTCTTCCACATGTTTTGGGCTTTCTGGTGGTATGCACGTCTGTCCTGGAGCTCCTCCTGCTCTGACCTGCAGTTGCCCAGAGGACATGGCTGTCATCGGGCACTGTGGGTGGTGCCCAGGCTTGCACCCTGCTGCCTGCCCCGCCCTCACCTGTACATGCAGGTCTTCTTCAAAGAACACCACCGGTTCAGCTCCTTGTCATCTGCAGCCAGGATCTACAGCAAAGGGAGGGAGGGGGAGCCCTGACTCGGAGCCTTCCTCACCTCCTTGGTTGACACAGGCCATGCAAGAATGTCACAATAGTAGGAGAGCTGGCTTCTCTGGGGGCCACTCAGTAATGTTTTCTTACAGGGAGGACCAGATGGGGAAACTGAGGCTTGGGAAGGTGATCCTTAGATTCTTGCCTCAGGTCACAGGGCTTATTTCAGATTCCTTGAGCCCAAGGGCTGCTGGGCCCTGCCATCCACTGCTCTCTAGCACCTCAGAAGGGGACAGGGGTCCTGTACTAACTATCACGTTGGCTAGCTAGATGGGGCCCAGGTTTCTAACGCTCTCAGTTTCCTCATTTATGAGGCAGGCATGCTTTAGAACCTGCCAGAAGGCGGCCCTGTGGATGTGGTGAGGGAATACCCGGGGTAAAAGTTCAATAAACACTGGTTTCTTTTACTGAGTCAATGGCCACACTCTGGTGTCAGGCTGCTCACCACCCGCAGGCACCTTTAAAGAACCATCCACATCTGACCTCCTCCTGGCTCCACAGCCATGAAGCGGGTGCTGTTACTGATCCCATTTTACAGATAGGAAACTCTTGTCCAAGGTTGCACAGCTAGTGAGTTACCCAGCCTGGACTTGAACCCGGGCCATCTGGTGCAAGAGACCACTAAGTCTTTGGACGTTGCTGCAGCAGGACTAGGGACTAAACCCAGGGTGTTGCATGTGCGAGGTGAGTGCTCTACCACTGAGGTACGTGAAGCCTCTCACCACGCCTTCATGCCACTCTGGTGTAGAGTTTAAAGCAATATTTACAAGGCGGGCGTGAGCTCAGGAGGCAAAGCGTGGGCTTAGCATATAGGACAGAGTTCCCTCCCCAGCACCACACACACTCACTGGTAGTATTTATGGGTGCCTGCCTGGGATAAGGACTGTTTCAAGTCCTTCAGCCCCCGCCAGGTAGAAACCCTGTGAGACTGGTAATATTATTACTGTGTCATTAGCACTATTGCTATCTTTTTTTTGTGGTGCTGGGGTTTGAACTCAGGACCTGCACCTTGAACCACTCCACCAGCACTTTTTTGTGAAGGGTTTTGTCAAGATAGGGTCTCGTGAACTATTTGCCTGGGTTGGCTTTGAACCAGGATCCTCCTGATCTCTGCCTCCTGAGTAGCTGGGATTACAGGTGTGAGCCACTGGCACCCAGATATTGCTATTATTTTTGAGATGAGGAAACATGCCCCAGAGTTGTAGCATCTTGTATCCTGGGTGCCCCTAGTGTCCCCTACTCCCAGCCCCAGCACTGCCCAGGTCCTGACCTCCTCCGTGGTGAGCCCAAAGTCACAGGGCACTACGCTGCGGTACTTGAAGCGACAGGGCAGGTCATCAATGATATCCTCATAGTCCAGCCGGTAATACTCATCCAGGTACTCCTCGAAGGACTTGTCACCTACAACAGAAGAGCCAGAGAGCTAGGCTGTTAGTGTTCCAGACCCTGGATAGTCCCCCAGCCACCTATGGCTGTCCAGGCCTCACCAGGGTTGAACACAGGCTTTTCCTGCCCCACGGCTGCAGCAAAGGGCGATTTACGTTTCTTCTTGCTGGTGGAGGGGGCTTCACGCTTCTTCTTGTAAGGCTGGCTGGGGTCATAGTCAGCGTCCATCTACAGATACATACAGGTCAGATCAGGCCAGTCCTCAAACCCCCTGGAGCCCAGGAATCCCCCCACCACGACTCCCACTTGTAACACCTACATTGAAGTCGGGGTCTTCACAGTGTGGTTCCTGCTGGCTCCAACCTCCATCCTGCTCTTGGCCGTCCCATGTGTCCCAGTTCCAATCATCTGCTTCCAAGGAGGACAGACTGGTGGGGTCAGAATGGGATCTCAGGCAGCAGGCCCAGCCCTCTGCCCACCCCACCCTCTGAGCCAGTGTTCAGCTGCTGTCACCTTCCAGTCCTTCCTCTTCTTCAAACTGTGGCTTCTCCTCCTCCATGGTGCCATAGAAGTTGTCTCCAAAGCATTTCTGCAGGGTAAGGACCACGTTCCCTCCAGAACCTTGCATGGCTCCCAGAACCCTCCCACAACCCAGCTCCTGATGGGAGACCCTGAGTGTCCAGGCCCCTCCATTGCCCCCTACCTGCTACACACTCTACACACTGTTATAGTGGCTACCAATGGGTTCCTCAGACGCACAGTTCTTTTTTTTTAGACCCACAGTTCTTTGCGGCCTTACAGACCTTTGTCCCCGCGGCCCCTGGCCTGGTGCTGTCTTTGACTAGCTAACTGCTGCTCAGGCCGCTACTTATTTAGTTGCCACCACTCCTAACATGATGACCTTCCCCTGTGTGTCTCCATTACTATCCTGATGCCTGTGGGCTGCGATCACACAGTAAGGCCTGGCATACAGTAGGTGCTCAACAGATGTTAAAACTGGTTCTTGCCACTCCATTATCTCTGATCCTGAGCTCTGGCAGAACCCCAGCTTCCAATGGGGGCCTAGTGAAGGCAGACTGAACTGGGCTATTTATTAAGCACCTACTGTATGCCCAACCCTAGACAGGATCTTGCTGCATTCTCACAACAATCTGAGTGATAGCAACTCCATTCTGTTGACAAAGCACAGAGCTGGGTGCCAGTGGCTCATGCCTGTAATCCTAAGCTACTCAGGAGGCAGAGATCCGGAGGATCGCGGTAAAGGTTGAACACAGCACTCACAACCTCCAGATTGTTTGTGGTAGGACTGGGGTTTGAACTCGGGGCTTTGCACTTGCAAATCAGGCGCTCAACCTCTTGAGCCACTCCTCCAATTCATTTTGCTGTGTTTATTTTAGGGGGGGGGGTCTTCTGAACTATTCCCCTAGGCTGGCCTTGACCCTTGATCCTCCCAACCTCAGCCTCCCAAGCAGCTGGGATTACAGACGTGAGCCACCAGTGCATAGCTCCTTCTCCAGTTTTTACCCAGCATTCCAATGCATTCTTCAGTCTCCTTCATCAACCTCCTAGACTTGGTCAGGGTCCTCTTTGGGGCTCCTGCAGTACCCAAGCTTCTCTCATAGAGTCCTCTCTGCCTGTTTCTATAGCCTGGTGCTAGGCTCCTCCAAGTACAACAATAAACATTAATTGCTCAAAAAAAATGAGTTGAGGAATACAGACAATCCCTGACTTTCAATGGTCTGACTTAGGAATTTTTGACTTTGTGCAGCTGCAAAAGCAGAATGTGTACTTCCAAGTTTTATCTTTTCCTGGCCTAGTGATATCTGATATGGTACTGTCTCATGGGGCTGGACAGAGGCAGCATTCAGCCACAAAATCATGATGGGAAAGAACCGACACTCTGCAGCATGCTATGTGGTAAGCTGTGATGTTCATTAGGTTCACAGCTCTTTGTTTTTCAGTGCTGGCAACTGAACACAGGGCCTTATGCATGCTAGGCAAGAGCTCTACCACTGAGCTCCATCCCCAATGTCCTGTTTTGAGACAGGGTCTCTATGTATAGCCAGGCTGGCCTTGAACCACAATCCTCCTCCTGCCCCAGCCTCCCAAGTGCTGGGATTACAGGTTTGTTCCACCATATCTGACTCAAACGTGTTTTTGACTGACAATATTTGCAACTTATCAGGACTTAATCCCATTGTAAGCCAAGTATCCAGAGAACTTACAAACTAAATTTTCACATGAATTCTTCCCTATCTATCCTTCCAACAACCCTGAGGTAGATATGCCAGTAAGCCCCACTTTACAGGCAAGGAAAGAATCTCAGAGAGGTCAAGTCACTTCTCTGAGGCCACACAGCCAGGAATGAGCCTGATTCCACAGCTGAGTTCCTGAGGATGGGAAGTTAGGATGGAGCCACACCTGCATGAGCTGGTCATGCTGGGCAGGGTCAAAGTCATCCTCGAGATCCTGTTCTTCAAGGCCCAGGGTCTCGTTGCCTGTGACCTGGCGCAGCCTCTCCAGCTTGGCAGCAATCTCCTTCCTTTTTAGATTCTTCAGCTGTTTCAGCTCCTCCTGCTTCCTGGCCTTCTCCTGAGGGTGGGGAGGTAGAGTGTGGGCTTTCCTGATGGACTTGGGGAACCTCCCCAGCCAGCCCACCCCCCCACTCACCCTCTTCTTTCGCTCCCGGGTCTCTTCCCTCTTCTCCTTCCTGCGTTCATCTTTGCGGCGCACAGAGGATGAAATGCTTCGTGGGTAGGTCTTCACCTGGAGGCAGCAAAGGAGCACAGGAGGGCCACAGAGATGACTGGAAGCTCTCTGGGCCCAGACTTAGAGGCCCGTCCTCCCGCCCCATAGCCCTGGTCACATACCAAGGCTGCATCTGGTTCCTCGAAGCGGAAGTTGTACTTATGTTCAAAATCTTCCTGTTTTTTCAGGAAGAGCTCCCCTTCATCGGAGGAGTCATCCACAGCCAGCTGGATAGGGAGGTCAGGGACCCTGAGGTGTGAGATGGGGTGAAGCTGGGGGGGAGGGGTGCTGAACTAGGTTAGGCTACCGTCTGCTACGTCCCTGGGTTCTAGATGTAGGAATTCATTCAGGCTGCTCTTACCCATCTCTTGCAGTGGGAAAACTGAGGCACAGAAATGTAACACAGGTCCAAGGATGGGAACCAGTGCTACTGGGCTCTAGAGGCCATATTTTGTGGCTGTTTCCCCACCCTCTGTGTGAGAAAAATAAACAAGTGGGGTCCCTTGGGCTTCCTGGAGGCACTCTGGAAACGGACAAGCAGTGAGCATGCAGGCTCACCCTTCCTCGTCTTCCTCCTCCTCCTCATCTCCCTCCTCCTCGTAGCGTTTGTTGAGGACATAATCCCGGAGGAATTGCTCCCCTTCATCCAGCTCTGGGTTGTTCCAGTATTCCTTAAGATGCATCTGGGGGTGGAGAGCAAAGGGATAGCAAGGGCCCAGGTCACCGCTGAACCACAGGGAAAGAGGGCTGGCGTGGACACCAAATGGATTTAGGGAACTGAAACTTCATGGCCAGCCTATCATACGTAGAATGTCCCACATTTTGCATATGGAGAAACTGAACCTCAAAGATGGGTACACCTCATCTTCAGACAGTGTGCCTTTGTTTTTGTTGCTGGTGGTGGTTTTTTTTTTTATTTATATTATTCATATGTGCATACAATGCTTGGGTCATTTCTCCCCCCTGCCTCCACCCCCTCCCTTACCACCCACTCCGCCCCCTTCCTCTCTCCCCCCACCCCCTCAATACCCGGCAGAAACTATTTTGCCCTTATCTCTAATTTTGTTGAAGAGAGAGTATGATGGTGGTTTTTTAGTGCAAGGAATCGAACCCGGGGCCTCCTGGATGCTGAGCACGCTCTCTACTACTGAGCTATATTTCAGCCCCATAGGTGCCTT